CAGGCGGATCTCTGTGAGTTCGAGGCCAGCCTGGGCTACCAAGTGAGTTCCAGGAAAGGTGGAAAGCTACACAAGAGAAACCCTGTCTCGAAAAACCAAAAAGAAAAGAAAAAAGAAAGGAAAAGAGAAAAGAAAAGAAAAGAAAAGAAAAGAAAAGAAAAGAAAAGAAAAGAAAAGAAAAGAAAAGAAAAGAAAAGAAAGGAGAGTTATGCAGAAGAGCTACTTCTCACTGCATTTCACCCTACAGAAAAGGTCGAGAGTCAGTATATAGAGGACTTGGGCAGGAGCCCTCTCCTCTGCGAGCGTACCTGTTCATGGCCTGGATCTTCAGGCCTTCCTCAATGCTGTGGCTGAGCGCCTGCTGGTTGTTGTGCTTGTTGATCCTGGCTAACACTCTCTCTTGATGGGCTTCGTACTCATCACGACTTGGATAAATTTTGCTGATGAGTGCATCAAAGTTTGGGTCCGGCCTTAGTGATCTTTTAGAAACTAATTTTTTCCTACAGGTAGGGCATTCTTTGTTGCTAAATAAGAGAAGAAAGAAAATGTAAACATGACTGTTATCTTTACTATCACAAAAATGTGAAATGGTTAACCAAATCTCCTTGAAAATTAAATGAAACAGGTTAACCAGGATTTCAAAAACCTTAGCTGATACACTCCTGTGGGGAGGGCTGTGAGCAGGGTACTGGGGCTTACCACTCATAATCTCAGCACTTGGGAGTCTGAAGCAGGAAACTGCATAGGAACCCAAGGCAAGTCTGAACCACATAGAAAGTTCCAGACTAGCCTGGGCACAATGTAAGAAAAACCCTATCTTAAAACACAGAAAGAAAGGGTGGCGGGGGACAACTTCAATAATTAGAACCCAGACTCTACACTTTTTAGGAAAGGTTCTAGTTCCCACACACTTATAGGAAACGTATTTCCCAAACTCCAGAAAGCGCTGCTATATTATAATCTAAGATCCAGTAATCACTCATTCCAACATACCCACTTCTAAGGGCTGTGATAATGCAATCTGCACAGAATCGATGTAAACACTCCTTTGTAGTCATGGTGTTCTTCAACATATCCAAACAAATTGGGCACATTAATTCACTGTGGAGACTTCTGGGTGAAACCACAATTTCCAAGCCATCTGTTATTGCCTCCTGTAAAAGAGTGACTGCTTAATCTTTTTTTTTTATTATTGATAAATTCAAACATACACAAGTATTGAAAATCATAAATGTACCATCACCCAAGTCACCACCATGGTCAACTCATAGCCAGTTTTGTCTTAGTTAAATAAAATATTCCTCCAGGCTCTTGAACCCTACCACCTATGCATTATTTAAATACCCTTGATTCCAAAGGGGTGTGTGAGTGAGAGAGGGAGGGAAAGGGAGGGAGAGAGAGAATGACTGATTATATATTAATGGAAAATAGCCTGCCTGGTTTATGTGATGCTAGGGATTGTACCCAGGGCTTTGCTGTGCTAGGGAGACACTACTATGAACTGAGTTACATCCCCAGCCTAGATTTATAAAACATTTTGAGGCACAGCATGACCTATATAACTTATAAAAATGCTTTAAATTTTCAAAAGAATTCTTAGGGTTTGATTAGGCCTAACCTCCACATCTCCTAAGTATCAGTATTAAGTCAACTAGCTAATGAATACGACCAGGACTACTAAGGACTGCAACCTGGAATTATATGCCTTTTCCTCACCTAAACTGCTTTTGGTCAGCGTATTTTATAACAAGAAATGAAACAATGGACCACAGCTGTAATTTAAGCATTTGGGAGGCAGAGGCAGGAGGTTCAAGGTCATCCTCAGCTACACTGTGAGTTTGAGGACACCCTGGAATACACAAGATTGTCTCAAAAATTTTTAAGTCCAATGAAAGCATCTAAGTTTTTTTGGGTTTTTTGTTTGTTTGGGTTTTTTTTTTTTTTTTTTTTTTTTTTGGACAGGGTTTCTCTGTGTAGTTTTGATGCCTGTCCTGGATCTCACTCTGTAGCCCAGGCTGGCCTTGAACTCAGAGATCCGCCTGCCTCTACCTCCCAAGTGCTGGGATTAAAGGTGTGCACTACCACTGATTGTCGACAGCATCTAAATTTTAACGGTTTAAAACATATCAATCAAAAGTCTAATTCTACAGAGATCTTACAAGAAGTGGTCAAGCAAATATGGAGACACACCTATGATCTAAGTAACTAAGGCAGGAGAATTATGAGTTCAAGACCAGCCTTGGCTCTATAACAAAACCCAGTCTCAAACCAAAAAAGTGGTGAAGTTCTCAGGCTAACTAACAGGTAATTTAAGTTGTAACAAATGAGAAATACAGTATGTATTATCAAATTGTCACTGAAAATGTTTTTCTGCAAAGATCTATTTGAATTCCAATGCAGAACTCCAGCTTGCTACAGTCCTACCCCACTGCTTCTCATTCTCCCCGTGGCTAGGGTTGAGAGTGGAGATGACCCAACTCTAAAGCCAACTGTATATATCACACCGGCTCCTCCAGGCTGAGAACAGCACTCCAAGCAAGAGTAGGGGGTTTCCAGCACTACGTTCCCTGGCTATCCTACCTGTTCCTTACTTAAGGTGGTCCAGTCAATCACCCCACAGTAATCAGAGACACTACTCCACAAAGGTCTAAAGTAAAATGTTTATATTTATAAAACTAACACAAAACAGTAAATTAGGTTTCTGTAAATAACACTTTCTATCTTTTCCAAACAAATACACTTTTCTCTGTATTACATTATATTCCAAATATATTCTTATTTTTGACACACAGTAATTGTTACTGATTAATGAGATAAAAAGTAACATTCAAAATGTGTACAATATCAGGTTAGGGTGGCATGTCTTTTTGTGTGTGTGTGTGTGTGTTAGGAATGCTCCAACTCCTCTCTAACATTAGGACTTGATTTGGGAATTATCAGCAGCCCCGTACTGAAGAAACTATCAGAGGGCACGATGATAACTAGGTACTAAGTTTGTTCTCCTCTCCCTCTTTAGAATATGCCTAACAGACTCCAGCCCTGGATAAACCAACATCTGTTAGCCAGAGCTTAACCTGTGTAGTGAGGGGGAGAAGGACACACTGCCACGGGACAGACACATGAGGAATGACCCAGATGAATAGCACTGACAACTCACCAGCAAGTATTAAACACTACTCAGCAACTGGTCAATCTAACTCATTCTTCTTTTCTTTCCAGTGCTTTCTCTTATTCTACCTAGATACTTCCTACCACTTACAACAGGTTAAAGAGCCCTTTCCAGGAGAAAATGTGTCTCAATCGTACATCCTTCTGCTCCTTCTCAAAGGTTTGTTTGTTGCTCTCTCTCAGGCTCTTCCCCACACGCACACACATCAAAGCAGGCCATGAGATTATTGTTAAGAGTGGCTCAACATCAAACGTACATAAAGTACCCTCGAGTTGTGTAAGAGGAGGAGGATAATGACACCTGCCACTCTGAAAAGCTAATTCCAGTTTCTGTTGTTTCTCTGTTCTCCTGCACAAATTGCTAGGAAAGAGCATCTACTCACCTCTTGTCATGTTTCTGTTATACTCAGTTATCACAGCATAAGCCAATGATGAGGACACATCATGATAACATTCATGCTTCAACCGACTCAAGTGACTATACTCTATGACAGTGGTTCTCAACCTGTGACCCTTCTGGGGGGGGGGGGGGCAAACGACCCTGTCACAGGGGTCACCTAAGACTCTCCTGCATATCAGGTATTTACATTAAATTCATAACAGTAGCAAAATTACAGTTATGAAGCAGCAATGAAATAATTTTAAAGGTGGGGGGGTCACACCATGAGGAACTGTATTGGAGGGTTGTGGCATTAGCAAAGTTGAGAACCACTGAACTATGAGGCGGCACACAAGTGTTTCTGCTAAATCCAATCACACTGTTCCAGTCTATCAGCAATGTGAAACACATTTACTATGCCCTGGTTCTTTAACATTTCCTTTAGAGTCTCAATCTCTCTCTCAAGTTCTCGTTTTCCTTCCTTTTCTTCTGAATGTTCTTCCTTAGTCTCCTTGACTGGTTCTTCACCTGTCACCTAATTCTAAACATCATTGTAAAGTCTGGATGAAATGACAGACTTTATTCATCTCCCTTAGTTGTCATATCCAGTTTTAGAATGTACTTGACAATCCCGAAAATTTTACATTGTTTTTTTTCCGACTCCTGTTAGCCCCTGGCTCAGTTCCAAGCTGCCATTCCTCTGATTCTTGGCATGTTTCCCTTCTCAAAACAGTCCCTCCTACTTATCCCATTATTTCCTTACTACTGCAAAGGAGACTATCTCTTTATTCAGTTTCTCATATATGTAATTTTATGAATATTGAGTTATTTAGTCCTTATAAATTTTGTAGGCTAAGGCCACATAATTCATTATTATTCCCCTAGTGCCTAACAGAGGCTGGTATGGAAGTATGTAACTTACTTGGTGAATGAATGAAGTGTCAGCCAACACATGATTCAGGACCACTATTATCTAAGTTTAATCGTGTTAAGTTCTCTCTAAGTTTTCCTTTTCTACAAAGGTTTAGGTTTACACAGACCTAGTTCCCTAAATCACAGTAGTCTATATTACCTGAGGTGTTCGTTGTAATTCGTACAAACTGAGTTCCCATGTTTTGCTTAATGGTTGAGTTCCATTTGTCTGCACAGCTTGAGACATTGCTAGGAATAAAAAGGAGACAAAAAGATTTAGTATTTGAAAAGGAGGTGTTGGTCCTTTATATATGGTCCTAATATATATGTGTTCCCCAAACTGGTGTCCAAACTTTACAGTTTAGAAAACAATAATAACTCAGCACTCAAAGAGAGGCAGAGGCAGGTGGATCTCTAAGTTCAAGGCCAGCCTGGTCTACAGAGCTAGCTCTAGGACAACCAGGTCTACACAGAAGGGAAAGCAATATATCAAAATATACCCCCTCAGACTTCAACTGAGAGCAATTGGGAACTAGCAAATGCAGGCAAGGTTTTTTTCTCTGAAGTTACTATCTAGACCTAGGATCGGCCCGTCAAAGGGAGCTCAAGTGCTTTCAAATACTTTCTTGTTGTTGTTTGTTTTTTTGAGACAGGGTTTCGGCGCCTGACCTGGATCTCATTCTGTAGACCAGGCTGGCCTCCAACTCAGAGATCTACCTTCCTCTGCCCCCTGAGTGCTGGGACTAAAGGTGTTTTCAAATAAAGAATGAAAACCAAACACCACATCTATATCCCAGAGGAACCATGTCTAGGTTACTTACTTACTGTGTTTTTCTGCTCCCTCCCTCCCCCCTAAAAACCATTCACTGCTCCCCTAAACTGTATATATCTCCCCACTCCCCTTTCTCCACCATCAGGCTCTTCTTTGAAGTATACTCTCTTCCCCTTTCAATCCGCCCAGTATCAGCTGAACCCACAACCGGGAAGTTTAAAATAGAAAACCTAGCCTCCAACATATTGAGGTGATCGCAACAGACAGATACCCTTTGAGGGAATCCAGAAGCTACATAGAAGGCTCTATGGCATCAGTGGTCAGAGCAAAATAATCAGCCACATGGAAGATAGTTGGAAAATTCCAGACTACTTCTTGTCATAATCCCTTCCCTATATAGAGCCACTATTAGGAGGGAAACCTCCAGCTTCTAACTTCTCTCGGGGAAGGGAAAAGCAGTACACTCTGCATGTCCCCAAGATCCAGCTTTTCTGGGGTCTACCCAAACAATCAACTTCTGTCTAGCCTACCTGTGAAATGCTAACAAGACTCAGGAAGCCCAGGAAGGCTCAGTGTAACTCAGATAGAAACACACATTCCCTCTTCCTGTCTGGGGCAGGAAGCAGCGGTCTAATCTGGGTGGGAAACCCCTATAGTCTTGCCTGTCTTCAGTGCTAGAGGGATCTGGAATATCCTTCCAGCTGTTCAGGACAAACAAAGCAGGCCAGACTAGAGAGGTCTCAAATCTTCTCCTGCAGAAGGGCCAGACTGAAGACAACAGGCAACAGCTTAATCTGATACACAGAAACCAAGAAACTGAACAGGAAAATACACTCCCCCCAACCCCAAAGGAAGACAAATTACCAGCAAATGACTCTGCTTAACTGACACATGATTTATGTACCAGAGAATTAATAAAAATACTAGTCATAAACATGCTCACCAAGCTCAGGAGAATAACGTACAAACATGAAAAGTTCAACAAAGAGAAAAACTAAAACCACAAAACTAGATAAACCATGGCACTAAAGATGAAGTATCTGACCAAGCAAGCTCTTAGAAGAAAAGGGTCATCAGAATGGGGTTTCATGGAGGAAGCAAAGGAAGTCTATAATTCATAGGACACTATGGGGAGGACCAATGGCTGCATTATGGAAGCTCTCGGAGGGACAAAGAAAACAGGAACAAAACCTCAAAAAGAGAAGATGGTCTCTGGTTCCTAACGGCCATGATATGCACAGCTCTATTCTGCCGCTTCCATGACAGACGGACACACTTCTGCAACCATGAGCCAAAGTAAAACATTCCTGCCTCGTTTTCTCAGGTGTGTAGGCCTCAGTGACACACAACTAATACAGGAAGTTGGTACCAAGGAAGCAGGGTCACTGCAGTGAGAAAACCTGGTCAAAGGGTCAGTTAGCACCTTGGAACTGGTTTGTAGGAGAATTCTGGCGAAGTTTAGAGAAGCTAGCTAGGAAACGTCTACAGCAATATAAGCAGAGAAATTATAAGCAGATTTAACTGGTAGGAACTCAAAAGTTGATCATACTAACAGGAACCTAAAGGGCAAAGGTGAAGCTCATCAAGTTTCAGATTAGACACTCATGTTACATTCTCAGAAGGATGTTGTCTACGATGTCTCTGTGTTTAAACTTTATTTCTTTATTGGTTTATTGAAACAGGGTTTCTCTGTATAGCCTTGGACTATCCTGGAACTCCCTCTATAGACCAGAGGGAGTTGGTCTGTCCTGGATCTCGCTCTGTAGACCAGGTTGGCCTTGAACTCAGAGATCCACCTGCCTCTGCCTCCCAACTGCTGGGATCAAAGGAGTAGCCACTACTGCCTGGCATATTTAAGCTTTATTAAAGGCTAAAGAGTGACAAGCTAATTTAAGTTGACAGAAAAAATTTAAGACACAACAGCAATTCAGCATTTGTTACTGCTGACCACTTTTTAGCTGAGTTTTCAATGAGAGAAGCCAAAGGTAGAACAAAAAGATTTGCAAAACATGCAGTCTGCCCTGAAAATGAGCGAAGGAAAAGTATAGAAAGAAAGGTGTGCATCTGGCTGCTCTTCCAAAGGTCCTGAGTTCAATTCCCAACAATCACACAGTGGCTCACAACCATCTGTAATGAGATCTGGTGCCCCCTTCTGGCCTGCAGGCATACATGCAGGCAGAACACTGTACACATAATAAATAGATAAATCTTTAAAAAAAGAAAAGGTGTGCATGAACCATTCTGGCTCTCACCTGCAATCCCAGCACACAGAAGACAGACTGCAAATTCAGGGCCAGGGAAATGATTCTGTAAATGGCCACTAAGCCTAGGACACAGAGTGGAAAGAGGATGAGGCCTACAGCTTGTCCTCTGATTTCCACACATGCCACAGCGGCAGAAGTATATATATATGCACATGCAAACATACAGAATAAATAGATTTAAAACGAATTGTTAAAAAAGATTATGCTGGCGGTGGTAGTGAAGGACTTTAATCCCAGCACTTGGGAGACAGAGACAGGTGGTTTCTCCGAGTTCAAGGCCAGCCTGATCTACAGAGTGAGTTCCAGGACAATCAGGGCTACACAGAAAAAGGCTGTTTGGGAAAACAAAAACAAAGCCAAAAATAAAAAATTTAAAAGGGTGGTGGTGGTGGTGGCACATGCATTTAATCCCAGCTCTCAGGAAGCAGAGACAAGCAGATCTCTGTGAGTTCAAGCCCAGCCTGGTCTACAGAACGAGATCCAGGACAGGCACCAAAGCTACACAGAGAATCCCTGTCTTGGGGAAAAAGAAAAAAAACAAGATTACAAGCCAGGTAGTGGTGGCACACGCTTTTAATCCCAGCAGTGGGGAGGCAGAGGCAGATGGCTCTCTCCAGCCTGGTCTATACATTGAGTTTCCAAGCCAGCCAGAGCAACAAGAGCAACAGTAGGATTCTTTTTCAAAAAAAAAAAAAAAAAAAAAAATGGGGGGTGGGCAACAAATTCAAAGTCAGCCTGGTCTGCACAGCAAGACCTGCAGAGGCAGAGATTGGGGGGGGTTGGTTGGTTGGTTAAGATTTTAACGTTAAAAAGCCACCAAGCATGCTGCATTGGAATAGCAGAAAAAACTGAGGAACACCTCAGGAACTGAGTCTACCCAGCACAGGCTCCAAGATGCAAAATTGTAACTTTTGAAAGATTTTTCCCCTGGGAAGACTGCAGTGCCATACTCCAACAAGGATAACAGAATTCTTCATAATTCAGAAGCCCTAGTACTCAGAATCCACTTGTAAGCATGGTCTAAGGCAGTAGTTCTCAACCTGTGAGTAACAGGCCCTTTGGAGGTCAAAGGACCCTTTCACAGGGATCTCCTAAGACCTTCTGAAAAGATATTTACAATACAATTCATAACAGTAGCAAAATTACAGTTATAAAGTAGCAACAAATGTAATTTTATGGTTGGGGGTCATTTTATTAAAGTGTCACCGCATTAGGAAGGTTGAGAAGCACTGATCTAAGACAACCAAGGCACAGATAAAGCTGGTGACATGCCTGATACATCACGGTACTTCTGTAGGCATGCAGATATTTCCACCAAGATTTCACAGTAAGGCCTAGAAGGCCAAGCAATCAATGCATGGTAGGGTCAGGATCCATGCAGGCAGTCACACAATGGGCAATATATGAAACCCTGGGATACTGGAGTTGCCAGGAACATGGAACATCTGCAGAAGAATGCTAAGGACAGCTCAAGTGAAGTCCAAGCCCAAGAATTAGAGCATGTGAGATGCAAATGACAAGACTGTACTGCCCAATACCTTTGGAGCTCACAGCACAGCACTCCATGCCCCAGATGCTGAATACGGGCCTATAGGATTTAATGCTGCCCTACTGAACAGTCTTGCTTTGAGCCAATTCTTCCTTGATAATCTCTCATTCCTCCCTTTTGAAGTGGACCTGTTTACTCTGCCACTGTATAGTGGACATTTAATTTAATGTATTTACATTTGTGTTCTGACAGAAACAGCTTAAGAAAGGCATTTATTCTGGCCCAAAGCCCATCATGTCAGGGAAAGAATGGCAGAGGGTTCCGTTTGTCAAGTAAAAGCTGACTCAGCAGCTGCCTGCTACACTACACTCACCAACAAGTAGAGTTGGGGCTGACAGCGTGGCTGGGCTATAACTCTCAGGGCCTGCACATAGGTGTGCAACCAACATGAAACACTAAGTACACAACACATAGTGCAACTTTCTCCTTAACTGACATACAGAACCAAAATGTATACACATTAACTGGCAGTAGCCATAATAGATTGATACACATCTATAACACACTTTTAAAGTACAAGCTGTAGCACAAAATGACACTTTATGCAAATTAAAAAGCCCAACCACCTAAAAATTACCCCCGCTCAAAAAAAGGCAGCTTTTCTCAAGCCACTTAAGTTGACAACCAATATTAACCATCAACTCTTCCCTCAGGATGTCAAGAAA